CGAGGTGTTTTTAATGACGTCGAGCGGGTGTCGCATAATTCCATCCATCGCGCCCGGCCTTTCATCACTAGTGGCATCGTTTGATACTGTGTTCTGGCGTCAGCGCCGGGGCTTTCGTCACCAGTGGCATCGTTTGACGCTGTGTTCTGGCGTCAGCGCCGGGCCTTTCATCACCAGTGGCATCGTTTGATACTGTGTTCTGGCGTCAGCATTGGGCCTTTCATCACCAGTGGCATTGTTTGACGCTGTGTTCTGGCGTCAGCGCCGGGCCTTTCGCCACCAGTTGCATCGTTTGACGCTGTGTTCTGGCGTCAGCGGGGAGCTGCACGACTACGACTACTTCCGTCAGCAGAAGATGGACACGCTGGAAGCCTCCCTGTCGGCCATCTCGCTGTTGGGCGAGCACCTGCTGGAGACGGTGTCTGACCCAGCCGCGCTGACGCCGGACCAGGTCCAGCGGGCCGTCTCCGACTTCCTCGGGGTGCGAACCTGAGTGCCGACCTGCAATGTTCTCGTGATGCCGGTTCGTTGATGCCGAGTTGAGTTGACTTGACTTAGTGGGGGAAATGTCGGCACAGTTTTCTCGCAAGATTACCGAGAAGGCCTCATGTACTGATCTGAAATGTTACCCTCAGTCGTCAAATAACAGGCATATGCTGTGCTGTTATGGGCGAATTCCAACCAGATGACACTGCCAACGGCGCTGAATTGTCACTTGCTCATGGTTGCGAAACCGTTTGCATGCATTTAACCGATGTTTATGGTCGGGAAACTGCCAAAATAATGACCATGTTCCATTGAACGTTGTACTGCATTGTGTCGAAATCGCCTCAGCAAGGAAGTTTGAGGCAGGCCGAATGGCCCCGCCAAAACCCTGAAATAGGAGGCCAAAATTGCCAAAAGAAAATTGAAATCACATTTAATAATTACGATAAAAACGATACATACAATACAGTACAAAAATGATCAAAAATAAAACTTAAGACAAAAATTAAGAGCTCAAAAGCAGCTGTCAGCCAATTTCCACCCCAAAATGTCGAATTTGATATACAGCTACTTTGTTCTTGCTCAGAACATAAATCTTGAAACGCAGATCTGTCGGCTGACCCCTGCTTTGATCGGGAACCCAGACGTCGCTCGACTGTTGCGCACCCCGTGTCAGTTACCCCTTCTGCCAACAGATGTCTCTGTGGGCCAACAAGAACGACCTGTCCATCACGTCGGGCGAGCACGTCTCGCAGGAGATGTCCCCGCTCCTGCAGCTGGTGGAGCTCAACCGATTTGTGCTAATCAACGACAGTGCACGTGTGTTCGAGCAGCTGCAGCTGCTGAGGAGCAGGGAGCACGTCCGTATCGGTACGTGGGGGGGGGGGGGGGAGGGGGTAGCTTACACGTGCGACCGAAACACATGAGGTGGCCGCGACTCGTCAGGCGGCCACAACCCATGGGGCCGGCGACAGCCAGCAGGACGGTCGTGGCCCTGGAGTTTGTCGCTATGTTTTAACACGCGCTCGGGTGGGGGGTCAAATTGCCTCCCCCTCTAAGGTTTTTCCAGAATGGTTTCCGAACGGCGCGGCCTAGCCGCGCCATATTTTACGTAGCTGTCGACAATTGAATAGCGGATTGTGTGGCATAGAAATTTAAATGTACCTTGTAAGGTTCGCCGACCTATGGCAGGTCAAAATCAGGCCGTGCTTTCAGCGAATGCAACTTGTAGGGAATCTTTCAACCTGATCCAACAACGGAGTGTTAGGCGAAGCCATACATCTCTGAGATACTTTTTTAGGCACCACGGCAGTTGAATGAGCAAATTACATTGACCTAAGGTCAGGTATGAAGGTCACACCAAAGCCAAAGCCGACCTGTTTTGTTTCTCTAGGGCTTGGTGCATGGGATGGTTTCTGGTGCTGATTTCAAAATTATTTATAGCGGGAACCACCTAACACATCATCCATGGACTTCTTAGAGGTCAGAATAGGTCATTGACCTAAAATGACCTAGGTCAACATTTTGTTTTAGGAACGTACTGTCCAGTGTAATCTTTGTCACTTAGCCAAGTGCAAAACTCGAAGAGATCTTGTATGACATTGGTTCCCTTGACCTTCAAAAGGTCAAACAAGGTCACTGACCATAAATGAGCATGTGGCCTTTTGCTTAGAAACAGTTACCTAGGTTCTGGGGGCATCTTGGAGACTAACCTGGAACTTGACCTCGTTTGACCTTTTTTGACCTGGAGGTCACGACCTAGGGGTGTTAAACTTGAACTAATTGAGTTCACATACAGGTCAACGCACGCTGTAAATTTGGTGTCTCTAGCTTTCTTAGTTCTCGGGATCTCAGCGGCGTCAAATTGTCCCCCCCCCCCACCCGAGCGAAGGGTATCTAGCCGGCCAACCGGGCGCGTGCTAAAGCTATGATTTTTGAAAATGTTCACCTTGTGCAAGGTGCTGTTTTCTCGTCATGCCTGGCTGTGATAGAACGCTGTGCACTAGATGATACCGCAGATGATAGAAGAAAAGTGGGTGCTAGGAGAAAGGTTTTAAAAAAGATAAAACCAGAGAAGGTGCCAAAGGGAAGCTGATGGAGTATTCTGTGTATACATTTGTGTGCGTTTCAGACATCGTAATGGACAACGCTGGCTTCGAGCTGTTCTCCGACCTGTGTCTGGCGGACTTGCTAGTCTCGCTGAACATCGCCCAAAGCATGATTTTCCACATCAAAGCCATCCCTTGGTATGTGTCGGACACCACGCAAGCGGACGTGCAACGCATGCTGCAGCGCATGCTGGCGGCCGATGACAAAGCCGCGCTTCCGCGGCTGGCCAAGAGATGGCAGGACTACATCGACTCCGGCCTCTGGCGGTTCGAGGCCGATCCGTTCTGGACGACGCCTCTCCCGTTTAGTCGCATGGCGAGCGAGGCCTCAGGACTGTACACGCACCTCCAGGCCGCCGACCTCATCATCTTCAAGGGTGACCTCAACTACCGCAAGCTTCTGGGCGACCGCAACTGGCCGCACGCCACGCGCTTCTGCGTGTCGCTGGAGGGCTTCCACCCAGCCCCGCTGGTGGCGCTGCGCACGCTCAAGGCGGACCTGGTGTCTGGCCTGACGGCCGAGCGCGAGGCGCTGACCGCCGACGACCCACGCTGGATGATCTCCGGCGAGTGGGCGCTCGTGCAGCTGTGCGAGTGCGCCGACACGCCTCGCCGTGCCGACGAGCTGTGACCGGTGCGGGTCCACAGTGAAGATACGCCGTGGGACGCGGTAGACTTGGAGTTGCCGAGGTGTTGCCTGAACGGGTTTTGTACGGCGCCGTCGCCTTTGAACAGTGTGGGTGGTGTTGCGCTGCTCTAATGAACCGGCTCGTGGGCGCCTGGAACAGCAGATTGTTACTCGTCATTGTGTCGCTTTTGTCGCGTGTTCGCCCGCTGTTCGAATCCTAGCACTCGCGTTCAGTTTTTATGTGCACGGCTGGGAGCTGCGTAGAAGGAATCCTTGGACTGCACGTTTCGTGCTCTTACCTGCTCAGGGCAAATGACACACGCGATATCTTAGTACGGTGGCTAACGTGTTTGGCGACATGTCGCCTTCGAGACGGCCGCCTGTCGATTCAGTGGCGTTGGTTCGGCGAGTGTGCGCGCTTAGGTTGTTTTTTACTCGGTGGGATAAGTGGCGTGATGTTTGTGGCCCTGATCCGCCATTACAGGCGCAATAGAATATATGCTTGTTTGCCAAGTGCCAGCTTGCCAGCTCGTCATAGTTGCTGTCTCATTCTGAATTATATCCCCCCCCAAGTGTAATATATACTGAAGTCGAAGCTGGACTTGTTGAAAAATTGCCAGTGGCAGGGGCGTGGTTTCGCAAAATGGGTTGGGTAAAGGAGGGGGAAAGGGGGGGGGGGGTGAAGGCAGCGAAAACCCCAGCTCTTAAATATGCCAGCCAAGGCGTTTCTCCGCGCACTGATCCGTTTTCTTCTCAGAATTGAGGGGGGGGGGGGAGAGCCGGAATTGTGGAGGGTTAAAGTCTTGAAGGTTTAATGAGACATTGATTACAGATGCAAAGGCAGAGCACAGCGAGCAAAACGCGATATACTAATCACGACTAGCTGGAACCGTCGCGGCCGAGCCGGGGGAAGCGGCGTGTGAAATGGCGTGAGTCGAATGGCAATGTTTACCTGGAGTATACTGCACGGCTTGGAAAAGTGCAGACGTCATGCTTAATTTCTGACACGTAGTATCTCGTTTCTTCACACAATCTTGTGCTGCCTTGTTATTGTCTTACTGCCGTGAAGCACATTCCTGCTAACATCTCCATTCGTCTACATCTGCTCATTACATCGCCAGCGTCCGTCTTATCGGTGCCTGCGGTACCGCAGCGATGTAGCAGCGCTGCGCTGGTAACCCCGGCCCGGCCGCTGGTGTGCGTCCGAGCAGCGTGTCTCCCATGGTTGGGTTACAGCGGTGCTTGGGTGGCCCCCGGCCCGGCCGCTGGTGTGCGTCCGGGCAGCGTGTCTCCCATGGCTGGGTTGCAGCGATGCTTGGGTCGTCCCCGGCTCGGTTGCTGGTATGTGTCCGAGCAGCGTGTCTCCCATGGCTGGGTTGCGGCGATGCTTGCTTTGCTCCGACTCGGCCTGCGTTCCCGGCGCGGTCGAATATGACCGCGGTCAGGGGTTGCTTCAGGGACAACAACGGCCTTGGTGACATTGTTGCTTAAGGTGAAAAGTGGGTCGCCTTCCGTTCGTTGTGACCCGGATCATGGCGTGTTTCGCCGAAGTAGGACACGCATCGCCCGTCCTCCGCGGCGTTCTCGGAGGCTCTCTGACGTACCCAAGCGTTGCGATGTCCTGATGGATACATCGGTCGGCTCCGGTCGTCTCTCGATGTGCTGCCTACTAACTGAGCTGATTATTCTCACATTTTCTGGCTCGCGGCCGCTCGGCCGAGTCCAGCCTGCGTCCGGCCGATCGAAGGCGCACGGACGGCGCACTATTCAAGCGGGTCGTTCCCTGGTGTCCAGAAAACGGGCGCGGCTCCGTCCTGAAGACGGGCACATCTCTGTCACAGGGTCGGACTCAGCGCCTGTCCGGTCGAATGTGCCCACCTACTTTCGGGTTACTTCCCTGCTGCTTCCGGGGACACCGTCATCCGCCAACAGTCCACGTCTTCAAAGCCCAGTGTCCCGGGGTGCCACCCGAGGCCACGCACTCTGCGGCACAGTGGGGCGCGGGCGTCCGGTGGCCACTTGCAACGCTATTAAGCTCAGTTGCTCTTGCCGCTTTAGCTGGTCAGCCAGACGCCATTCGCCATCTGCCTCCCAGGGTTGTCGAGCGGCGCCGAGCCGTTGCTGTCGGCTGCACGCCGCTGCGGGCGGTGTCTCTTCCACGGCCCCAAACAGCGCCGTGCATTAGGGTCTGTTTAGTTTAGTTTATTTGGTTTGAGGCGTTTCGGCCTGTTCGGACCATTTCACGCCTTTAAATGGTCTATTTCAACTCAAACTTATATTTGTGTTTTTAAGAGAGAAAAAGCGCTACATCTTACCCTTTCATGATAATCAAAACATTTCAATACGCGTAAGGAAATTGAATACAAAGTCAAGAAGATGTGGATGGCCATTACCTAGGAGGACTTCAAACGATAATGCAACGTTGTGGTGGCGACAGTATGTTTCCAGTGTTTTCCGTCGGTGTTGAAATTGTCGCATTCAAGCAAAATATGCTTAACCGGAAGGGGACGATCACATTGATGACATAAGGGACGCGGGTGTTTTAAATATCAATAACTATGCGTAAGCTTTGTGTGTCCAATTCGAAGACGAGTTAATACTTTTTCTCCCAAACGGTCTGGACGGTTTGCCAACGGCCAAGGTGCAATTTCCGGTTTTATGTCGTGAAGCTGTGTCGTATTGGTTTCCGTGCATTGTCGTTGCCAAACTTGTTTTGCTAAATTGTGAATGACCGTTTTTATTGAACTATGGCCAACAGGGACCGGTGTTATGTCAGGGGACGCCAATGCTTCCTTAGCCAGTTGGTCGGCTCCCTCATTTCCTGTGATACCCCAATGGCCTGGCATCCACACAAAAGTGTAATGTCTATGTCTTGTGTGCATAAAGAATGATAGATATGTATAATACAAACAACGAGGTAGTGAGTGAGGTCAGGGTTAATAAGTGACAAAAGGGCCACCCTAGAATCCGAGCAAATTACTATGGGACTGGTCCTATGATTTTGTCGTTCGATATGTTGCAAAGAAAAACATAAAGCAAACAGTTCTGCAAGATATACGGATGTTCCATCGGTAACCTACATTTTTGTGAGTAATGGCCGTTACAGAGTGTCGCGCATCCGGTGTGGTTCTTAGCCATGGAGCCACCGGAGTGTATAAAGCGACAGCGTGGATACTTTGCGTACCACACTATGGAATCATTGTTGTACATAAGCTGTTGTGACGGTGCGCTTAGAATCAGTAAAAGAAACATAACTTTGCGAGGTGCCAGTTGCCAAGGGGCTACTGCTAAGTCAGGTGACACTGAGGCTCGCGGAAGGACGTAATTTAAACTATGGCAAAAAACATTGATACGTGATGCAACTGTAAGGCCCGAGCGCCGCTCTGTTCGTCACAAATATGCATGGTGAATTCGTGGCAATATATGTGTGGAGGCAAATGTTGGTTGACTTGAATTTCGTCTTATCTTTGTGACATACCTTATAGTGTGCTCAATACGTCGGAGGGCTAAAGGCATGATGAATGTATCTACTTCAAGTGCCGAAATTGGGGATGTGCGCAGTGCTCCTTGTGCAAGCCGTCAGACCATATTTTGTGTAATAGTTAGGGACTTCAGACTGCCTTCCGTGCCACCTGCATACATCACTGATCCATATTCAATAATAGGAAGAACCAATATCTATATAGTAACAATAACGTATACCGGTCAGTACCGTACCTTCATCCCGGGATGCACCCAAACAAATTCAAACGCATGACGCATTTGGTGCGGACATGTTCAACGTGCTTGGACTTGGACAACCTCGGCTCGAGAACGATGCCTAGAAATTTGAACGATGAAACGCAAGGAATACTGTGCCCGTCCAGTTCGAGAGAATATGTCGGTGTACCTCGTCGCCTTCTACTGAAAATAATAACGGCTGATTTTAGAGCGGAAAAATAGAGACCATAACGTATTGACCATTGTTGCAGCTTGTGAAGGGCGTTTTGAAGGCGTGGCAAATAGTGATCATATTCTTCATCTGAGCACCAAGTCGCGCTGTCATCCGCAAAAGTGACGAGGATATGCCTGACGGGAGATCATCAAATAAATCATCTATCATTAGGTTAAAGAGCATTGGAGATATACAGCTACCTTGTGGAAGACCGTTCTCTTGAATGTGAACATTAGAGACCGCCGATCGGCATCTTTCACGGAACCGCCGCGTTCCTGAGAGAACTACCGCAAGATAGTATGCCAAATATCCTTTAAACCCTAACTTTTGTAGTTTAAAAAATTAAAGCTGGTTTATATACCATGTCGTGAGCGCAAGTAATATCCAGAAACGCAGCAGTGACTTGACGTTTTTGGCGAAATGCGTGACGAGTATCTGTTTCCAGACGAATAATATGATCACAGGTGGTGCGGTTACGTCGAGATCCACATTGCTGACCCGATGAGTTTTTTTACAACCTATTATCCAGGCGAGGCGTTTGCCAACCATGCGGTCCATAAGTTTTCCCAAGCAGCTGGGGACCGCAGTTGGACGGTAGTTAACTGGGTCGTGTGAATTCTTGCCTGTTTTGGTATCGGAATTATTATTATTTCTTTCCATGGTTCCGGAAAAATATGAGAGAAACACAAATAATTGAAAACTTTCAACATAAACTGAAGCATGCTGTCAGGTAAGTGACGGGAAGAAAGCGTAATGTAGCTCATCCTGGCCTACTAAAGTGCTACCGGTGGATTTGATCGCGTCGCAGAGTTCTGAGAAAGAACATGGTACATTGTAGTCCTCTGTATTGTCGGAAAGAGAGCAATGGGGATGTAAATCAAACCGGGGTCCCGCCTGATCTATAAAGTCTGCTTTGTAATTGTCAGAAGAAATACAATGTGCCAGACGTTGGGCAAGAGACTCCATGACTTGCGGTAATGATGTAACTAAAGCATCGTTGATTCGGAGAGCTGGATGAGAAATAGACGGTCGCTTAGCAGAATGTGAACGAAATAATCCCCAAATTTTGCTAACGGAGTAGATGCAATCTGTTGAAGGAAGTTAAACCAGGAACAAGCGTTTGGCGGCTCTTACGATTCTCCTGGCTCGAGCGCGTTCAGAGTTGCGGGCGAGCAAATGTGGAATATCGTGTTTACGTTTACGTCTGGCAATGGCTTTCTTAACATCATCTGTCCACCACGGCACGGAAAGGCGTCGTGGTGGAGGTTCAGTCAGTGAAATTATTGCGGTTGCTGCAGAATGAAGAATATGTGTGATAAGATCAACTCCTTGCTCTGGTGGATCATAGCGATGATGGTTGATAATACAAAGCTCCTGAAATTTGGTCCAGGCTGCCTTTCGCTGGTTCCAACAGGGTGTATATCGAGGAACTGCATCAGCAGCAATATCAAAAGTGGCATAAATCTTAACTGGACAGTGGTCGCTGGTGTGGACATCTCCGTCAATAGTCCAATCAAAGAAAGTTCCTATTGAGGGAGAGCACAATGACAAGTCAATGACTGTTTCCGTCCCAGTGGGTAGATGGTGATATGTATTATTACCTTTGTTTAGCAGGACTAAGTTGTGTGAATCAATAGAATCTTCAACCAAATGTCCTCTGACAATCAACGGCTTAGGTGCCGTTACTCCACGTTGGACTGTGAGCGCTGAGATCACCGAGGATGAGGAAAGGGTTTTGAAATTGAGGAACAAGCTAATCAGGTAGCTATAGGAGCTCAGTATTGTATAATTTGGTGTAATGTATATTGAGCATATATCGATGGTACGGCCATGCAGCCGGACTGAACATGCAACAGCTTGAAGAGATGTGTTAACACGCGCTCGGGTGGGGGGGGGGGGGTCAAATCGACCCCCCCCCAGGGTTTTTCCAGAATGGTTTCAAAACGGCGCGGCGTAGCCGCGCCCAATTTTGCATAGCCGTAGACAAATCAATCGGATCGTTTGACATAAAGATAGATGTACCTTGTAAGGTCGCTAACCTATGGCAGGTCAAAGTCAGGTCATGGTTTCAGCGAAGGCAATTTCTAGGGAATCGTTCAATCTGAAACAATTACGGAGTGTTTGACCAAACTATACATCTTTGAGATGCTTTATTAAGCACAAAAAATATTGAATGAGCAAATTAAGTTGATGTAATGAGACGCCAAGTGTTTCGCCACATTTTCTCTGCACTTTGGCCTCGCACCGTCAGGGGCTGCAGCCTCTGACGGTGCACCTGCCCTCGCTGCTCTCCCAACGGCGACTATCCACAGCGGGGGCCGCGAGCCGAGGCCTGCGCGAACGAGCCGGGGCCGTGCGAACTGCGGCGGCGGCGCGCATCTGCCGCGCGGCCGGGGCCGGCCTGCGAACCTGACCACGTGCCGCGCCCCGCCCCAGCAGGGGCGCAGGACACATACAACTGCACTACGAACACTTGACCTAAGGTCCGGTATGAGGGTCAGACCAAGGTCAAATCAAAACTGATATATTACTCTAGGTCTTGCTGTATGGCATGGTTTCTGGTGCTCATTTCGAATTTATTGACGGCATGAACCGCATTATACATCTTCCATTGACTTCTTAGAGGTCAGAACAGGTTATTGACCCAAGATGATCCGGGTCGATATTTTGTTTTAGGAACATATTGCCTAGCGTAATCTTCGTCGCTTATTCAAATGCAAAACTCATACCAGTCTTGTATGATTTTGTTACCAAGACCTTACGAAGGTCAAATAAGGTCACTGACCTCAAACTGGCTTGTGACCTTTTGTTTGGAAACAGATGTCTAGGTTCTGGGGCACTTCGAAGACCAACCTGAAATTTGACCTTGTTTGATCTTATTCGACCTGGAGGTCATGACCTAGGAAACTCAAACTTTGACCTCAGTGAGTTCACGTACAGGCCAAGACACCCTGTAAATTCGAAGTCTCTAACTTTCTTAGTTCCCGAGATCTCAGGGAGGTCAAATCGACTCCCTACCCGAGCGAAGAGTATTTAGCCGGCCACCCGGGCGCGTGTTAAGAGTGATTGGCGTGTATGTTAATTCTTGACTAATGTGCAGCGCCACCCCACCTTGGCGACGCTCCCCGTCCGTGGTGTCACAGCGATAGAACGAGTAATTTGGCATTTTAAAATCATATATTTCGGTGGGACGAAACCATGTTTCCTGTACGTCAATGATGATTGGAGCTAATACGGCAAAAAGTGCTTTCCTTTCAGACCATTTTGAAACGAGACCGCGACAATTCCACTGTAAGATGAAAGACATTTAATGAACAAGGGGCACATTCCCACCGGTTGATGGGAATCACACGAGAGAACAGACCGAGGTCGTCCCATCGCCACCCTCACCGATGGACGGGACCGGCGGTCTTCGTTCGGACGTGTTTCAACAGGTATCGTGGTGGGGGGGGGGGGGGGGGAGGGGAGGTAACGTTCGTGTGGTGGCCAGAGGGACCGGGCCGCCGACTGCTCATAGACGGAGGGCTAGAACACCGGACGGCCTGAGCCGCATGTGTATCACGCACAGCTGGCGGGCTGGAACACCGGCCAACCTGGGGACGGGGGTACACGGGCGCCCGCGCATCCGAGCGCCCAGCCAGGGGCGACTCAACGGCATTTTCGTCTGGGTCTTTGTAGTTGACTCAGCTGAGACCGAGGGGCGGGGAGTGAGAAGCTTCAGGGCAAGCAGATGGGCAATGGAGTCTGTCTGTGTTCCACATGTTGCCATCGTGGCTTTTGCCACCTGTGCATATGTTTTGCAAGACTGTGACGACGTTTTGGATTCAATAGTGCGCCGTGCCTGTCTTTACCCTTTCAGAACAATTTGTTTTCTTTTTACGATGTGGGACACTGAGGAGAGTTGGCGGCGTGATCAGCACTTCCACAGCTCAGGCATTTCTGGGGTGACGTGCAAGTCCCGCCGCACTTCCAGCATCTGGCACTCTGTTTCCAGTACTTGCTGCCATGTCCGAACCGCTGACATTTGAAACACCTGAGTAGATTGGTAGCAAAGGTGATAACGAGCAGGCTGGTGTCGCGACGCTGACCATCTCTGAAAGTCGTCAGCCGTCGGACATGGCGAACTTGCTCGTCTCTGAGGTCCGCCTGGATCTCGTCCTCCGTCATGAAACGAAGCTTAGGCGCGAAGATGGTGCATTTACTGGCGCGTCTGGCATGGTGCAGGGAGACTTTCTTGTACAAAATTCGGTTGTTTTCAGTATGGCCTTGGTTTGTGCGCGAGTGGTTGTTTTTATGAGTGATCCGTTTGCCGGTGCTGCAATTTTGAGCTCGCATGGACCGCACATAGCCTTCATTTGCTTTGATGGCCAGAAAACGTTGATCTTCCGGAATGACACGTTCTCATCACGAGGCTGAACAACAACGTAAGAGCAGAGAGGATCCAGAATTGATTCAGAGGGCAGGCGAACACTGGTCATTGTCGAGCGAGGGTCAGCATCAGAGCGAGTAGGCACCGGGTGGTCGAAGATGAGCGAGGGTCCGAACCAGGGGCGTTGGGTGGAGGCGGGTGCTGTCCAGACACCGCGACGGAAGTGCATGAACCAATGGAATGGGCCCGGGGCGCGCGAAGGTCATCAGGCGAAGTGGTAGCCAAGGCGGGGCTAGCGGTACTTCCGTCGTCTATATCCAGGGAATTATCGACGTCAGAGACCGAGTTCGAGTCCGTGTCAGTGTTGTCCTTACGCTTGTTTCGCTTCCCCATACTCGTGAAGCGAGAAGAGAACAAAAATTAAGCGTGCAGGTGTGTTTGGAGCTAGTGCGAACGGAAAATCACGGGAACGACGATGCGAAAAAGGACTCCTTGGCTGAGGGCCACAAAAGAAGCAAAGCCCTTGCTTGCTAAGGTCTTGCCAGACGGGTATATGGCCATCGAACGCGAGCCTTGTGCATCATGGACTGCTGGCCGGAAGTAGTCGATAATTTCGAGCGGCGTGGGAAGGAGCCGGCGCTTTGGGCGTATGTATTGTACACATATGCCTCCCGGGCATGCGTGCTCATACTCACAAAAACGTTTTGTGAACCTAGGTCACCTGAGTCGTTCTCAGACTTTTTCGTGACGTCACTAATATGAATATCTTCATCGCTTCGCCACTTCGAACACCAACCGGCACATCACTTACGACATATGACACTACAACATGTAACTTATGGCAAATTTGGCACACCCCATGAGTAACATCGGCAGGATATATTTTTGTGCGGTCAGGGTTGCTGCGAATGCACTCTTAAGAATATACGCCTCGTCCAAGCGAAATCGCCCGGCAAATTACGCTGGTCCTATTACCGCTGCGGCTACTGCCACGTATATGTACTTGCCCGGAAAAAGGACGATCGAGATGATGTGTGACCAGAAAACGCAAGCACGTTACATACATTACCTGATGTGACCATTGTCTGCTTCCTGGGTAAGCGGCAGGCTAACAGCAGTGTAGCAACAAAGATGGTCAATGAAGCAGATTGCCTTAGCCTACCATTTGGGTTTTACATCATGTTTAAACCTGTCCCCAGGCGCCTGTGCTGCTGAACGTTTTGCAGGAAGGCTTGAGGGCAGTGTTGGTCATGGTCCACACTAGTGCCTAATTCTGCAAGATTATGTTTTTTATCAGCTGATGTTTTCAAGATGACAAAATGTTCAAGGCCAATGAATGGTTATTGGTCTAAGGATCATTCTGTCTGATGAGGACCTGTCAAAGCCTGATGAATCATTCTAATATGCTGATATGGCATAACAATCTGGGGGATTAAATGAAAAGCCATGTTCCTTCACCTGTGGTCAGGCAGAATTTAGATATGTTCTTTGTCATTGTTGGCATTATGCAGACTAGTCAGTGACTGACTAGTGCAGTGATGAATGAACATAGCTTTGGAATTGACAACTTTCACTAACAGGTCAACTGGAGGTGTGCTGCTGCTGGACAGATCAACAACCATGTCATTCCTGGAAGACTCATTCATCATGTTTTTCTCCCAGGTAAGGCTCAGCAGAATGGTGTTATTAAACCTTCACTAGTACTCCCCCTTAGGTGCTTTCTTGTATGTTTTGAATGAACAAGCCAAGGCACACAAATTTGCACTGGTGAACCCCCTTCATCACCCACCAGGAATAGTGGTTTCTGTTGTGTAGTATAGTCTTAACAAGAGGGCCCAAACCTACAATGCTATTGATCTTGCATTGTCTGTCAGTGTTATTGTGTAACTTAAGTAGTGATTCTCAGGCACATGTTAATTCCACAGGTATTGCTCCTGCAGCATTGTTAATGTCTAGGTCAGTGGAGCAAGGTGTACAGCTGTTTGAGATTTATTCATGACAGTATGTACTGCAATAATTTGAGGCATCAGTGGAGCCAGAAGAGGTCTACCATGAATGTATATCTCAAGGCCTACAAAGCATGACACTGTTTCATCTTGTTTATGTGAGGACTCACAAAGCTATGGGAATGGTGTGTGATCCTAATGCTGAAACTGCTGTATTTACATGTCCTTGGTACTTTCCAGGCCATTTTCTTCTCTGGTGGCTGGGTGTTCTTCATCAAGATGCTATTTAAGGACTATGAAATTCATCATGTTCTGGTGCAACTTATCTTTTCCATCACATTTGCTCTCTCCTGCACCATGTTTGAGCTCATTATCTTTGAGATACTGGGCTTCTTGGACTCAAGGTAATCAGGCCAAAGGCTCAGACACATCTGAACCTTTAACTCTGTAATGAATGGTGGGGCCCTTCACATGCTTTTGTACCCACTTTCATTTGTACCCACATTCATTTGATTGCTGCACCCACAATCCTATAAAGGTAGGATAATCATGACATGTTTTTTTGTTTGTTTTTCAAAGCAATCTGGTGGCTCTCAGTCTTTGATAACTTTGAACAGATAAAGCGAGCTGTCATTTTGCACTACAGTAGCAGGCCTATTGTACAGTGCCAGGCCTGTTGCAGTTCACGCTACTTTCACTGGCACCTGGACCTGTACCTGATGCTCTTCATGGTGGTCGGTGTGATCCCTTTCTACATCGCCTACTTCGTCATCTGCAACATTGGCAGAGGTGGGTTGCACACACCTTTGATAATGCTAGCCATGCTGGACATGCTCACATGCACCTGGCTTGCGAGTGAAATTAAACTTTACCTGTTTTAGGGTGATTAAATAGGAGTGTGTCACACCATTCTCGCGTGTCTTGCCACGTGCGTTATGCTACTCTTGTATGCCACGTCACTCGCATCATGCCACTCTCGTGTGCCATGCCACTCCATGCATTGTGCCACTCTCTTGGTCATGGCTCTCTCATGTGTCAGGCCACTCTCATGGTCACGCCACTTTTGTATGTCACGCCGCTGTCATAGTCACGCCACTCTCGTGTGACATGCCACTCTCAAAACGCCACTCTCATGTGCCACACCACTCCTGCGCGTCACACCATACCCATGTGTCACGTCATTCTCGTGTGTCACGCCACTCATAGTCGCACCACTCCCGTGTATCACGTCACTGTCGCTTGTCAGGCCACTCCCGTGTATCACACCACTTGTGTGTCACGCCACTCCCGTGGATCAGGCCACTCCCGTCTATCAGGTTACTCTCGTGAGTCACGCCACTTGTGTGTCACGCCACTCGTGTGTCACCCCACTCCATTTGTCACACCACTCCCGTTTGTCACGCCACCCTCGTGTGTCACGCCACTCCCGTGTGTCACGCCACTATCGTGTGTCACGCCACTATCGTGTGTCACGCCACCCTCGTGTGTCACGCCACCCTCGTGTGTCACGCCACTCGTGTGTCACGCCACCCGTGTGTCACGCCACTCGTGTGTCACGCCACTCTCGTATGTCACACTACTTTGTGTGTCACGCCACTCCCGTGTATCAGGCAACTCGTTTGTCATGCTACTCCCATGTATCACGCCACTCCGTGTGTCACGCCACGCCTTGTGCCACGCCACGCTGGCAGCTGCTGCGCCCCTGATGATGCCGTGTCGCCGGCACCCGCAGCAGTCCAGCCAAACAAGCATTCTTACATAGCATTGGAAAGGGGCTGAGGGACCCTGAGAAGGGCTCAACTACCTGTGGTTAGGGGATGTTGGACCTTATAAAGTCACCCAAGATGCAACCTTGACTTGAGAAAACGTTCTGTGTCTTAAAAGACTAGAAATGCACACTTTGCAAAGAAATCACTGGCTACAGCAGGCCATTCATCACTTCGGTTCTTTTGAAGGCTTTAAAGATCGCCCACAGCGGTTTTCAGGAAGAGGACTGTGGATCATGGCCATATGACCCACTAGGGCCCCTCATCGACTGCTTTCATAAGGAAATGCTTGGCTGAGTGGCATCAGGCCGTCTGTGGAGGACCAGGGGTCGCCTCTAGATCGTCAGGCCATCTAGGCTATCTAGGTCGCCAGGCGAGGGTACTGAGAGTATATTGTACCCATGGGGTAGGTCGTTGGATGGTTGAAATGGTTGAGAATGTTGGTCTTGTATTGCTATTCTAAGCGTAATATCAATTTTGAACTTCATCGTGACGTAGTGCGACGTAAGTGTGCAGGTTTGTTCACCTCAGTATGGACTATTTTGATTCTCATGTGCGGGATGCTTTTCGATTCATTGCAAAGATGGCAATCCTCAAGTTGTGACGGGCGCCCGCTAGCTGGCTGCGGACGCGGCCTACTGCGCGGCTTGGAACACTATACAAAGCGCGTCGGCGAATTTGTGCCAGATGCTGAAGATGTGGCGACAGCGAAGATCACCGCACTTTGTCTTGGTTGTATACCGGATTAAACGCATCACTATACCGATAGTTTGCTTTGAAGTTTAGTGTGAAGCCACATGTCTAAGTGGTGTAATACACACAGAAGCAGGACTTTTGCAAAGGTATTCTGAATCTCGAATTTGCACGCGCTTGCTGTTCTGTGTTGGAAGTAAACAGACCGGAAGCCTGCCGCGACCTCCACGCCACTGACTGTTGATGGTGTGGCCGTGTTGCAGTGCCCCGACACCTGCAGCGGCCTCTCACGGTGCTGACGTGGCTGCTCTTCCTGTACGCCTTTTGGAAGGTCGGTGATCCTTTCCCGCTGCTCAGTCCGCGGCACGGCATCTTCAGCATCGAGCAGCTGATCAGCAGGGTGGGCGTGATCGGCGTCACCGTCATGTCCATGCTGTCTGGCTTCGGAGCCGTCAACTATCCCTACCAGTCGATGGCCATCTTTATGAGGTGCGTCAGCTCGCATGGACACCACCGGGTCCTAAAGAATGCTTGCAAGGAAAGGTCATGTTTGGAGAGACTCATGATAGTGCCTTAGAGGTGTTGAACACGCTACTATTTATCTTCGCAAATGGCTATTTGTTTCGAAATGACTTTTTCAATACAGAAGATCACATAGAATATGGTGATCTCCGCCGTTGTGTACCAGTGCCGGTGTTTGGGTGATACGGCGGAGGTCTGCGGGAAGCCAGTGGTTTGCCACGCCGGCGCCCGGTGACGTGTCGCCTGCGGTGCTGGCTGCAGGCCTGTGACGCCGTCCGATGTGCAGTCCCTGGAGCGTGAGCTGCTCAAGCGGATGGATATCATCTTGGCCAAGAAGCGCAAGCTGGCGTTGTACCGGCGCGACAGTGTACAGCGCTCGCTGGGCGGCGGCTCGGTCGGCGGCGGCGGCGGCGGCGGCCGGCTCTGGGGCGTACTGGCCGGCGCCGCCTCCTCAGTGTTCAGCGGCGGCGCCAGCCAGAGCCAGCTGAAGCAGGAGATCGCCGCCATGGAGGTGCGCTTCGTGCCGGGCCCGACCGCCGGCCGGCCTGGCTGGGGAGTGTTGACGGGGTGGCGGACGGGTACAGGGCCCGACCGCGGGCTGGCCCGGCTGGGGAGTGTTGTTGGGGTGGGGACGGGAGCCGAGCCCGGCGCCGGCCCAACTGAGGGGCCCCATAATAACCGCAGTTTCGTTTATGCCGTGATGGGTCTCGTGACCGTCTTTGGTTGCGCACGAAAAGGTGGTAATCGTAGAAGTGGGATCCGCACAGCCGGCTTGATGGGCTACGCGCAATGGAAGAGGCGTTTAGAAGGCCCGAGGCCGCGGGGTCTGCCGGCTGGAGCCGCCAGGAGCGTCGGTGACTGCCTTTATTGCCTTGGTTGACGCCGACGGTAGCCGCCGACGGTAGCCGCCGACCCTCATCCACTTGATGGGCTGCGTGCAACGTGACATGGCGGTGGCATGGTGTCCGCTGCCCCGCCCTGCGAGACCGCCAGGCCGACCGGCACTTTCGTCCAACAGGAGGTGGTCAGACAGCTCTTCCTGGAGGATGTCGATCTGCACTACATGCTTGAACGTATCGAATGGTCCAAAACCTGGAAGGGGAAGTACTTCAATCTACTGGGATATTTCTTCTCCATGTACTGCACGTGGAAAATATTTATCGTAAGTTTCCTTGTAATTGGTGTCTTGTTTTAGCCATAAGAATTGCAGGGGAGTAAGCAGATGATCTGCATATGTTCCACTTGAATCAGAAATGGTGTTTCCACGTTAATGGGTACGTTATCGCAGTGTTTCTTTAACTGAGCAATAGACACCTCGAAGTATTTATTCAACTGCACTACCCAACGATGCATTTATGACAAAGTATTTTGATACTAATTTATGGTAACACACATATCCATCAATACATTACTTATGCAATTCGTTGGCGGTTGAATTAGTCTCAAATCATCCGAATTGCGGCATTGTTATCACTTGGTAAAATGCCTTGACTTTCGGCGTATGAGGAATTCATTTCAAACATCCGTCATCAAATTGATGTTTAAATGCAATTTCCTAATGATGTATTGCGTGTTTTTAAACACACTTATTAGGCCTCCATTTAAAGATGAGCCACCTTATCTTTATTTTTATCTCGTTGCACTAGGATGTGGTGTGTTCACCTGATATGATATGATTTGATGTGTTGCCGTTGCAGTGTACGGTGAACATAGTATTCGACCGCGTGGGGAAGATAGACCCGGTCACCAAAACGATGCACATCGTCGTCAACTGGCTGGGCTTCAATATCGACGTGACGTTCTGGTCACAGCAGATCTCGTTCTACGTGGTGGGCTGCATCGTAGTGACGTCCATCCGTGGCCTGTTACTTACACTGACCAAGGTACGAGCACCGCCGACACAGCCGGGCCTGATCACAGTACGAGTACCGCCGACACAGCCGGGCCTGATCACAGTACGAGTGCGGCCGACACAGCCGGACCTGGTCACAGTACGAGTGCCGCAGACACAGCCGGGCCTGATCACAGTACGAGTACCGCCGACACAGCCGGGCCTGATCACAGTACGAGTGCCGCAGACACAGCCGGGCCTGGTCACAGTACGAGTGCGGCCGACACAGCCGGGCCTGGTCACAGTACGAGTGCGGCCGACACAGCCGGGCCTGATCACAGTACGAGTGCGGCCGACACAGCCGGGCCTGACCACATTACGAGTGCCGCAGACACAGCCGGGCCTGATCACAGTACGAGTGCGGCCGACACAGGCGGACCTGGTCACAGTACGAGTGCCGCAGACACAGCCGGGCCTGATCACAGTACGAGTGCCGCCGACACAGCCGGGCCTGGTCACAGTACGAGTGCCGCAGACACAGCCGGGCCTGATCACAGTACGAGTGCCGCAGACACAGCCGGGCCTGGTCACAGTACGAGTGCCGCAGACACAGCCGGGCCTGATCACAGTACGAGTGCGGCCGACACAGCCGGGCCTGATCACAGTACGAGTGCGGCCGACACAGCCGGGCCTGATCACAGTACGAGTGCGGCCGACACAGCCGGGCCTGGTCACAGTACGAGTGCCGCAGACACAGCCGGGCCTGATCACAGTACGAGTGCGGCCGACACAGCCGGCCTGGTCACAGTACGAGTGCGGCCGACTCAGCCGGCCCTGGTCACAGTAGGAGTGCCGCCGACACAGCCGGGCCTGGTCACAGTACGAGTGCCGCAGACACAGCCGGGCCTGATCACAGTACGAGTGCGCCGACACAGCCGGGCCTGATCACAGTACGAGTGCGCAGACACAGCCGGGCCTGGTCACAGTACGAGTGCCGCAGACACAGCCGGGCCTGGTCACAGTACGAGTGCCGCAGACACAGCCGGGCCTGATCACAGTACGAGTGCCGCAGACACAGCCGGGCCTGATCACAGTACGAGTGCCGCAGACACAGCCGGGCCTGATCACAGTACGAGTGCCGCAACACAGCCGGGCCTGATCACAGTACGTGCCGCAGACACAGCCGGGCCTGGTCACAGTACGAGTGCGGCAGACACAGCCGGGCCTGATCACAGTACGAGTGCCGCAGACACAGCCGGGCCTGATCCAGTACGGTGCCGCAGACACAGCCGGGCCTGATCACAGTACGAGTGCCGCAGACACAGCCGGGCCTGATCACAGTACGAGTGCGGCCGACACAGCCGGGCCTGATCACAGTACGAGTGCCGCCGACACAGCCGGGCCTGATCACAGTACGAGTGCGGCCGACACAGCCGGACCTGGTCACAGTACGAGTGCCGCAGACACAGCCGGGCCTGGCCACAGTACGAGTGCCGCAGACACAGCCGGGCCTGGTCACAGTACGAGTGCCGCAGACACAGCCGGGCCTGATCACAGTACGAGTGCGGCCGACACAGCCGGGCCTGATCACAGTACGAGTGCGGCCGACACAGCCGGGCCTGATCACAGTACGAGTGCCGCAGACACAGCCGGGCCTGGTCACAGTACGAGTGCCGCAGACACAGCCGGGCCTGATCACAGTACGAGTGCCGCCGACACAGCCGGGCCTGGTCACAGTACGAGTGCGGCCGACACAGCCGGGCCTGGTCACAGTACGAGTGCCGCCAGCACAGCTTGCAGGTGGCGCTGCCGCCGGGCACGGTTCACTGTTCTGGCCCGGTGGGGCAGACACGCTGGCGGCCCGGACAGGGACGAATGCTTGGTGGACACACGGCGAGCTAGGAGCAGACACACTGGATAGATGGGAGCGGACACGATGCCGGGTGGAGACGCGGCGAGCTGGGGGCGGACACACTGGGGAGCTGTAGGCAGACACGTTGTCGGTTGGCAGGGAAGGCAGAGGGTAGGAAGCTTTTATATCACACTCAGGTCAGGTGAGCTTGTTGAGTACAAATGTGTTGATTTGCCCCGCCGCAGGCTTTGGTAGAGTAATGTCAGGTGAACATGAAACGGCTGTGTAGGATTTTAGATGTTTAACATAGGTATGTCGTCAAGTTTTGGCGTTCAGAGGTGGTGCGATGTTTGTTTTTCAGTGCCGTGAGTGTGTTGTAACAGCATCATGTCATGGTCTTTCTTTTCGTTTGTTTTCAGCACAGCGTGTTTGCTCTTCAATTTTTTGGACATTACCAAAGCAATGTCGTTGCCCTAAACAAGCCCTATGCTTCGGGTGGTTTTGTCCGTCCTTGAGCATCAGTCAGGAACGGTTGCGCGACTGGTGGTTCAGGATTAGCAACATCACCGGTAACATGTGGCCTTTTTATAAGGTATTTATCTGAGTTCAGGGACATCAATAATGAGTGATGAAACGTTCATTTGTGTTGCGATTTCAGTTCTTCTACGCGGTGTCGAGTAGCAAGTCTTCCAACGTCATAGTGTTGGTGTTCTCTCAAGTGATGGTGAGTGGTAACGGCCGGCGCGACTGTCCCTGGTAAACCCGCGGCCGTGTGAGGCGGCGGTGTTCTCTCAAGTGATGGGGAGTGGTAACTGCCTACGCGACTGTCCCTGGTGAACCCGCGGCCGCGTGAGGCAGCGGTGTTCTCAAGTGATGGTGAGTGGTAACGGCCGGCGCGACTGTCCCTGGTGAACCCGCGGCCGCGTGAGGCAGCGGTGTTCTCAAGCGATGGTGAGTGGTAACGGCCGGCGCGACTGTCCCTGGTGAACCCGCGGCCGCGTGAGGCAGCGGTGTTTTCTCAAGTGATGGGGAGTGGTAACTGCCTACGCGACTGTCCCTGGTGAACCCGCGGTCGTGTGAGGGAACGGTGTTCTCTCAAGTGATGGTGAGTGGTAACGGCCGACGTGACTGTCCCTGGTGAACCCGCGGTCGTGTGAGGGAACGGTGCCCGGGGCTGACCGGCGCTGGCTGACCTTGCAGCCACCTGTCAGCGGCGTCAGGGCAGCGCGGGTCGTTGGTGGTCAGCTCACCACTGAGGACCGCGGGTCGTTGGTGGTCAGCTCACCACTGAGGACCGCGGGTCGTTGGTGGTCAGCTCACCACTGAGGACCCGCGGTCGTTGTGTGTCAGCTCACCACGGAGGACCGCGGGTCGTTGGGGGTCAGCTCACCAAGAGGACCGCGGTTCGTTGGTGGTGCAGCTCACCCACTGAGGACCGCGGGTCCGTTGGTGGTCCAGCTCATCACTGAGGACGTGGGTCGTTGGTGGTCAGCTCACCACTGAGGACCGCGGGTCGTTGGTGGTCAGCTCACCACTGAGGACCGCGGGTCGTTGGTGGTCAGCTCACCACTGAGGACCGTGGGTCGTTGGTGGTCAGCTCACCACTGAGGACCGCGGGTCGTTGGTGGTCAGCTCACCACTGAGGACCGCGGGTCGTTGGTGGTCAGCTCACCACTGAGGACCGCGGGTCGTTGGTGGTCAGCTCACCACTGAGGACCACCGCGGGTCGTTGGTGGGTCAGCTCATCCACTGAGGAACCGCGGGGTCGTTGGTGGGCAGCCTCCTCCCCTGAGCGGGTCGTGGTGGTCAGCTCACCACTGAGGACCGCGGGTCGTTGGTGGTCAGCTCACCACTGAGGACCGTGGGTCGTTGGTGGTCAGCTCATCACTGAGGACCGCGGGTCGTTTGTGGTCAGCTCACCACTGAGGACCGCGGGTCGTTTGTGGTTAGCTCACCACTGAGGACCCCGGGCCGTTGGCGGTCAGCTCAGGGTACAGTGCTCATTATCACCTCAGCAATCGAACAAGGGGTAAGAGCTGCTTCTTTCGCCGTCACTCGCAGTGAGGTTTAGCGTAGTGCTATGAGACTGCGTCCCGATCCGAAGAACTGCAAATGTAAGTCTTGGAAACCAGAGCTCATGAGGCCTGTTTGGTTGTTTAATACCGAAACCTTCCTATGTCCGGGTCACTATCCTGTCTATGACGTCAGACGCTAGTGTCATTGATAAGCGAAGGTACACAGACGTGCAGTGCTAGCACGCTCGCACAATGTCTTATTTGGTGCTTCAAGTTTCCCGTGTGTCCCATCGTTGCAGTGCATCATGGAAAGCCATGTTTATTTTCCAGACCATTCGTGCTTGTTGTGACCGCCGCCGCCTGTAATGCCACCTAGCGCGTGACGTCTTTTGTATGCTGCCGTGGATTGGTGGCGTGTGCGGCATTGTAACGAGGCGTGTGTGGCCACGTGACGAGACGTGTGTGGCCGTGCGACGAGGCGTGTGTGGCCGTATGACGGGTCGTGTGCGACCGTGTGACGAGAGGTGCCTGACCATCTGGCGAGGCGTGTGTGGCCGTGTAACGAGACGTGTGTGACCGCGTGACGAGGCATGTGTGGCCGTGTGGCGAGACACGCATGGTCGTGTGGCGAGGCGCGTGTGGCCCTGTAACGGGGCGTGTGTGGCCGTGTGGCGAGACGTGCGTGACCGTGTGGCGAGGCGTGTGTGGCCCTGTCACGGAGCGTGTGTGTCCGTGTGACGAGTTTGGCTGACGGCGGCGTCCTCTGCTCGGCAGGGTATGTACTTCACCTCTTCTGTCGTGCTGATGCGGATGAACATGCCCCTTGACTACCGTCGCATCGTGACGGACGTGCTGGGCGACCTGCAGTTCAGCTTCTACCACCGCTGGTGTGACGTCATATTCCTGGTCAGCGCGCTCACCAGCATCATGTTCATCTATTTGGCGCACAAGCAATCTGTGGAGAAGGGGGCAGCCGAGCGCGGACTGTAGGTGCGTCTTTGGGGCGCCGCGCATGATCCTGGCATGTGCCCAAGGCGCACGACGTAGTCGTTCGCGCAAAATCTAGCAGGGCCTACTGTGCCGGAAAGGACGATGCGTTCAAGTATATGCCACACCGCGCCCCGTCCGCCAGGGTCTGGGCCTGCCTGAGTTGTGATTTCAACCCTTTAATGGTCGTCTCATACCCGATTGTTTCCAAATAGCCCGTCTGTATCAAGTCATGTGTGCAAACGCGCTACTTTGAAACATTCATGTTCGAGTTGCTCGATACCCAATCTAGCCTTTCCTTGAACTCGTTTTCTGGAGCACTAGGTTTACTGAAGTGATACCGGGATGCCACGGGCGTTTAGTGCATGCCCTCTCAAATAGGGAAGGACACGGCGTCACCGTTTTTATCACGTTACTTTTCTTGCCATGCAGAATTTTGTCATTGTGTTTCCTTGTCTAGCTTTTGGGCCACAAGGGTCGTCTTCAAGGGGGTGCACCAGCCATAAGGCGCGTGATACTGCAGAAGGGGCGTTCGGCTTACAAGTCAGTCCCGTTTGTTGTTCTTTGTATGGCCACACTGGGATCTTGTTCATTGGTGACTCTTAGGCTGCCTGAACACTAATTAATGTTGTGCGCCGTCCAGGATGTCCGACATTGGCGCCGTGTGCTAAGCGGGGGGGGGGGGGGGGAGGGCCTCGGAGGCGAGCCTGCAACGTGTCAGCGGTGTAGCGATGCCGGCTGCTGCGGTCGCCGCACCTGCTGATGGTGGGCGCTGAACCAGAGCACTGGTGAGCAACCGGCCAGGAGGCGGACCGTCCGGGCCTAGAGGGTGTCCGGTGTCCGGCCTAGAGGGTGTACAGCCGGCCAAGGGGCGGGCCGCCCGGGCGGGCGTCCACTGAGCAGCTTGCCAAGGGGCGGACCGCCCGGACCCAGAGAGCACCCGCTTCAGATGGAGCTCGGAGTGACAGTCTGAGCAGAAGGCGCCACGGCGTGGAGGCTGTGCGTTGGACCCGAGCCCGCCTCTTTCGCATGCTGGGCTGTCGTCGGAGCTGACGTCCGTTCGGAATAAGGCGGCGTTACCCGTCACCATCCGAGCCGCGACACTTTCCCGGGATTCTGGGGATGGCCATCTTGCTGTCGTCGGACCGTGCGGTGGAGTCCTCGGATGTCTAAAGCGCAGTGATATCGAAACACCACGGGCTTCTGACTGTACTGCCGCCGCTTTCCGCTCAATTTTAGCAATCGACTACATGCGTCCGTGCAGTTTTGTTGCGAATACATGAAGAGATATTTACGTACATGTGTGGTTTTGGTCGGATGAGCACTGACAGTTGTGAGGAAGGTCGCCAGTGGTGGACCGAGTAATCGCGTCCCTCGCGAGGTGGTACTTGATATCGAGGTATGGGACGGATGTGCACGATTTCTGCCTCAAAGCGATGGCTGCCGCGCTATCCATGTACTTGGCTCATCAAAGCCCGTTGCCATACAGTCATCGGTCTAGCAGTGCGGATCTGCTTTGATTTTTATCGTGGGTAGGCAGAGCTTTTCTGGTGTGAAGAATTCGCTTTAACTTGAGCTGTGTGAGGGTCGTTTGCCCCCAAAATTTTTTTCAGAATCATTTCCGAACGACGTGGTGCAGCCGTGGCAAACGTGGCATAGTTGTAGGCAATTCAGTGACAGATCATTTGGTAAGTTTAAGTATTCCTTGCAAGGTCGCTGACCTATGGCTGGTCAAAGCAAGGCCGGAGATGTCAGCGACGACAATTTCTGTGGAATCGCTTAATTTCAGGCAACAACGGCGTGCTATACGAAGCTATACATCTTTGAACTAGTTCAGGCAACACAAAAATGGACGTCAGGCGCACCGCAAATTAAGACGACCTTGTGCCAGGCGTTAGTATCAAGCTGAGGTTTAAAACTACCTGTTTTTTTTTTTATTCGGGAGGCTGCTGGATAGGACAGTTTCTGGTGCACGTTTGGAATTAAGAAGTAACAGGGACCACAGCAGTACGTCTTCCATGGACGTCTTAAAGTCTCAGTAGGACACTGACCTAAAATGTCCCAGGTCAACATTTGGTTTAGCAAATATCCTGCCTAGCATAATCATTGATCACTGCCAGGTCCCGTTTTTGTACAATAGAGTTATCTCGTACTGCTAATGCGTGCGAGCGGTGACGTGATTTTTATCCATTACCACTTCCCGTTGTTTTTTGACAAGAAGTTCTACCTTTCGGACCAATGACACGTAAAAGTCACGTACGTATGTGGAGTGTCAGCTAATGTCAAATACAAATGCAAATTGACGCTGATTAAAACGCAAAAAATCAAAATATCGTAGGATATTGGACCACCATCACCTTCCAAGAGCCAGACAAGGTCACTGGCCGTAAATGTGCCAGTGATCTTTTTCTTAGAACAGGTGTCTACGTTCGAGGCGGTTGCATGAAGTGGTTTGGGCACTTCGTACACCAATCTGAAGTGTGACCTTGTTTGACCTTATTTGACCGAAGATTATGACCAAGAATCTCAAATTTGGACTCAAGTGAGTTCACACATAGACCAACCTAAACTGAAAATTTGGTGTTTCCACCTCTTGTGGTCTTTGAGATCTCCGGGGTGTCGAATTGCCATTCCCCAGCCGAGTGAACGGTATTTAGCCGGCCACCCGGGCGCGTGTTAAAGGGAGTGCTCCACATTTATATGGGTTTCGAACTAAAAAAGCTATCTTGAAAACGTTTGGTGCGGTTTACAGCCCTGTCCTTAAGACCTAAGTTCCTGTAGTCTCCGAGCTACACGTCCTCGAAGATTTGCAGACTATTTTGTGGAGACTACTTCAAGGTCACCCAGCCATCCATGACACCATGGTAACGTCATTCAAATCCTGTCATTCCATTAGCCATGCGACGATCAGGACTAAGAACAATATAATTGCGAGTTGTTCATATCTGGCGTTCGTGAGCACGATTTTCAGACAAAACGGCCGTTATTTGGCTCTGTATTTTCCCTTTTTCTAATTTTCAGTGGTTTACTTGGAAAACACTGCATCCCAGTTGGTAAACACCAGTTGCGGCTGCTATTTAGCAGGTATCTGCTATTGCAGACATGTCCGCTGCTCTGTGCCAACATACCTGTGCAGTGTGTGGATACCACTGGCTCCCGGCAATGATTCTAGACGAGATCCTGGTACCCGCCGGTTCCCTTGAACTTATACTGAAGTTTGTTTGTGTAGGTCCTCAGCATAATGCTAGCGTGGATCTAGACTCCTGCTTGATTTCTGGCCATATTCCAGGCTGGATCTTAATCCCTGCTCGATCTCTCGGCATAATTCCAGTCTGGGTCTTGGCTTTTGCTGGATCCGTGCGCGCATACCAAGCCGGATTTCGGTTCTTGCTCGTCGTGGGTTCTTACAGCACATATCGATATTGAATCTTGTTTTTAAGGATGTCTGGTTTTGATCACAAACTTGTTTCTAGATTCTTGTATGGTTTCGGAGCTAAGAACTGGCTCCCGAGAAGAAACTTAAGAAACGAGGCACGTGTCTGCTCGCGCGGCAGACAGCGACGGCCAAGGCATGCCAGTGATCACCTGTTTTGGAATACCATGCGATGCATCTCTGTCCATTCCGTTATTTTTTCTGTTATTTCCTGAGCGTGATGGATTCCGGTTGTGATCTATAATGGCAGCAAGTGGTAAGGTAGTGAAATTGTCTCAACTGCATTACTTCTAACACACTGAGTTTTCAATAAAGAATACGTCATTGGCTTTGAAGCAAGGCTCGCCCACCAGCACATCTTTTGACTTGCTTGTCTTCGACATGGTGTAGTGTGGTTTCCATTCTTGTCAGATTTCGACCGTTTGCATTTTTCATCCTTTCGAGCTTTTCCTATTTTGACTTTACTCGCCGTTGGCGTTTTCCCGCGGACTTTTTTCCAACTCAGCTTATATCCCTTCGTCCTCGGACCTTTCCTGTTCGGCTTTTTTCTGCACGCCAATGTTCGTAAATTATTGGGGGAGCGGTAACCGACGGCCCACCAGCAGTCCAGCCTCCAACAAAATGATTTTTTCAACCGATTTAATCCACTTTATTTTCAGGTGCTATAATTTTCACATTTCACTTTGTGTCGCGTACCAAATATCCAGTTTTTTTTATTCGGGAGTATAAAATGGGTCCAATATAATCTCGGCAGTCGGCGCACCCAAAAACCGCAACGACAATAACAGCAGCATAATGGTCATGACTATCGAAAACAAGGTAAGCTTTGTATGATATCCAACTTTTCACTCATTCTGTTGTAATTGTCCTGCAAAAATGTTGGAGGCAACCAATCTTGGGGCCCGGACAACATTGGAAAACCAGTGACCAAAAAAGAATACAAATTGACTCCCTGCAACCAGTGACGAATCCGCGGGCGGGGAGATTTTCAGGTATGCCTTCCTTCATTTCTTGAGGTGGCGTGAGGCTCTTAGATCGAAGGCAGGCAGGCGCAGTGCTTTTTGACAGTGTTGCGCCCGCATGGCTTCTAAAAGTCAAACCGGTCTTTTTTGTTACCAAATTGAAAATTTCAGCTTGCAGTAATCACCGAATTAAAAACAGGACCCTATAGCAATGACTTGGGACCGCCTTGGCTGAAAGAACTCTTTAGGCCTCGATTTGATCCCACATGTGGAAAATCCCGACTTTGCCACTGGTGCTGTAAATTAGTCGTCATTTAACTAAAGTAGGTTTTCAAACCATCGGATATATATATATATATATATATATATATATATATATATATATATATATATATATATATAGTGTTAGACGAAGCCAAACATCCCTGAGATACTTTCTTAGGCAACAAAAGAAATGAATAAACAAACATAATTGACCTAGGGTCAGGCATACAGGTCAGACCAAGGTCAACACCAACCTGTTTTCTTACTCTTGGGCTTGCTGTATGGGCTGGTTTTTGATGCTCATTTCGAACCTCGTCTGACATTGGTAGCAGAAGCCGCATTATACACCTTCCGTGGACTTCTTATAGGTCAGAATAGGTCACTGACCTTAAATGGCTCGGGTCAACATTTTGTTTTTAGGAGCATGCTGCCTAGCGTAATTTTTGTCGCTTATCCAAATGCAAAACTCAGAATAGTCCGATATCATCTTGGTCATCATGACCTTTAAAAGGTCAAACAAGGCCACTTACCCTAACTAACCATATGGCATTTTGCTGAGAACAGTTGCCTAGGTTCTAGGTGCCCTATGGAGACCAATCTGGAATTTGACCTTGTTTGACCTTATCTGACCTGAAGGGCATAACCTAGGAACGATAACTTTGACCTAAGTGAGTTCACGTCCAGTTCAACACGCCCTGTGAATTTGGTGTTTCGAGCTTTCTCAGCTCCCGAGATCCCAGGGGGTCAAATTGACCCATCCAAACGAGCGAAGGGTATCCAACCGACCACCTCGGCGGGTGTTAAAAAGTCAAAAAGGTCACTGACCTTAAATGAGCCTGTGACATTTTTCTTAGAACAGTTGCCTAGGTTGACCCAAGTCAACATCTTGTTTTTAGGAGCATACTGCCTAGCTTATTCTTTGTCGGTTATTCAAGTGCAAAATTCAGAGCAGTCTTGTATGATTTTGGTTACCGTGACCTTCAAAAAATGGAACAAGATCACTGACCTTAAATCAGCATA